AGGAATTGGCGTTCCACCAAAGTGGAAAATTCTCGTTTAATTTGGCAAGATAGTCTTAAAACTTATAGGAAGGCCCTCCGTAATGCCAGAGCAGCGTACTACTCGTCATTAATAGAGGAAAATAGGAACAACCCCAGGTTTCTTTTCAGCACTGTAGCCAGGCTGACAGAGAGTCACAGCTCTATTGAGCCAAGTATTCCCATAGCTCTCAGTAGTTACGATTTCATGAGCTTCTTTAATGATAAAATTCTAGCTATTAGAGACAAAATTCACCAAGACCTGCCCTCAATTGGCACCGACTTATCTCTTAACTCAGGAACCTTTGAAACAGCTGTAGAACCAGATACATGTTTAGACTGTTTTGCTTCCCTCAATCTTTACCAACTAACTTCAATAATTTCTTCATCTAAACCATCAACCTGCCTCTTAGACCCCATCCCGACTAGGCTGCTTAAAGATGTTTTACCCTTAGTCAGCACCTCTATACTAGATATGATCAATCTATCTTTATCAACAGGCTATGTACCACAGTACTTTAAAGTAGCTGTAATTAAACCTCTTCTGAAAAAGCCCAAACTTGATCTGGATGTTTTAGCCAACTATAGACCTATATCTAACCTTCCATTTCTCGCTAAGGTTCTGGAGAAAGCAGTTGCTAAACAGCTGTGTGACTTTCTACAGAGCAATAGTTTATTTGAGGATTTTCAGTCAGGATTTAGAGCTCATCATAGCACAGAGACAGCACTGGTGAAAATTACTAATGACCTCCTTATTGCATCAGACAAAGGACTTGTCTCTGTACTGGTTTTATTAGATCTTAGTGCTGCATTTGATACCATTGACCATCAGATCCTATTGCAGAGACTGGAATATTTCATTAGCATTAAAGGAACCGCTCTAAGCTGGTTTAAGTCCTATTTATCAGATCGATTTCAGTTTGTACATGTTAACGATGAGTCCTCCATGCACGCCAAAGTTACTCATGGAGTTCCTCAAGGATCTGTCCTTGGACCAATCCTCTTCACTTTATATATGCTTCCTTTAGGCAATATTATCAGGAAACATTCCATAAGCTTTCATTGTTATGCAGATGATACTCAGTTATATCTATCGATCAAGCCAGATGAAACTCATCAGTTAGCTAAACTTCAAATGTGCCTTCAGGATGTTAAAACCTGGATGAGCTGTAATTTTCTTATGTTAAACTCAGATAAAACTGAAGTTATTGCTCTGGGGCCTAAGCACCTCCATGACGCATTATCTAAAGATATAGTTTCCCTGGATGGCATCGCCTTGGCCTCCAGCACCACTGTGAGGAATCTTGGAGTTATCTTTGATCAGGACATGTCGTTTAAGTCCCACATTAAGCAAATTTCAAGGACCGCCTTTTTTCACCTACGTAATATTGCGAAAATCAGGAACATCCTGTCTAAAAATGATGCAGAAAAACTAGTCCATGCATTTGTTACTTCTAGGCTGGATTACTGCAATTCCTTATTATCAGGCTGCTTGAAAAAGTCCATTAAGACTCTTCAGCTGATCCAGAATGCTGCAGCACGTGTTCTGACAGGAACCAGGAAAAGAGATCACATTTCTCCTGTTTTAGCTTCTTTGCATTGGCTTCCAGTAAAATCCAGAATAGAATTTAAAATCATTCTTCTTACCTACAAAGCTCTTAATGGTCAGGCACCATCTTATCTTAAAGAGCTCATAGTACCTTACTACCCCACCAGAGCACTGCGCTCCCAGAATGCAGGGTTACTTGTGGTTCCTAGAGTCTCCAAAAGTAGACTAGGAGCCAGAGCGTTCAGCTATCAAGCTCCTCTCCTGTGGAACCAGGTTCCAGTTTGGGTTCAGGAGGCAGACACCATCTCCACATTTAAGAGTAGGCTTAAGACTTTCCTCTTTGATAAAGCTTATAGTTAGGGCTGGCTCAGGTAGTCCTGAACCATCCCTTAGTTATGCTGCTATAGGCCTAGACTGCCGGGGGATTTCCCATGATGCACTGAGCTCCTCTCTCCTCTACTTTCTCTCCCTCTGTATGCAACCTTATCCCATTATTGCATGTTACTAACACAACTTCTCCCCTTTCTGGTAGTCTTGTGCTTTCTCGTCCCTCTCCTCTCTCCTCCTATCACTTCCTGCAGGTTTTCTGGCTCTGGAGCTGTGGAGTCTGGATCTGTGGCTGCGGGTCGCCTGCTGCCCCCGTGTTCCTGCTCGACACCCTCTACTGCAACGACTATTGTTGCTAGTCTTATTGTTATTATTGTTATTATAATCATTAACATTATGATGGTTACCATTAACACTATTATAAATATCTGTACCATTTTTCATTTAGTTTATAGCAACATTACCTTCGCTGTCTGTACCTCTGTGTGTATATTGTGTAGGCTGCCTCCCTCCCCTCTCTCTCTCCTTACATCCCTCTCTCTCTCTCTCTCTCTCTCTTCTCTCTCTCTCTCTTTCACTCTCTTTCTCTCTCTCTCTCTTTCACTCTCTTCTCTCTCTCTCTCTCTTTCACTCTCTTCTCTCTCTCTTTCTCTCTCTCTCTCTCTCTCTCACCCCAACCGGTCGAGGCAGATGGCCGCCCACCCTGAGCCATGGTTCTGCTCGAGGTTTCTGCCTCTTAAAAGGAAGTTTTTCCTTGCCTCTGTCGCCTAGTGCTTGCTCTTGGTGGGAACTGTTGGGCTTCTGTAAATATCATCACAGAGTACGGTCTAGACCTGCTCTTTTATGAAAAGCGCTGTGAGATAACTGTTGTTGTGATTTGGCGCTATATAAATAAAATTGAATTGAATTGAATTGAATTGAATTATGGTGCTTTCAGACCAAAAGCGGTGAGTTTACATACAAAGTAAATGCAAAGACGCGTAGAGCCGCCATTTCCTGTCGGGCTGCGCGAAGGGGGCGGGGCCGGCAACACGAAGTCGCATGACGCTGAGTCGCAATAGCCTATCAGTGTTGAGATTGTCTGTACGTCACCAAGGCTTCAGAGCGTTGTATGGAGAGGACCAGGCAGAGCGGGGGATTGAAAATCTGCTGGCCGGCTGAGAGCTGCTAAACATGGAGAAGAGGAGCAGGGAGCAGCGCTGCAACCATTGGACAAATAAACCCCCCGTAGTCGGTCAGGTCCTACATCTACGCCGTTTACTCGCGGGAGGAGCTTGGAGTTAACTGCCTTTATTAAATTAGCTTTTTACTTTAGTTTTTGGGATTTCAATGTTGATTTATCTTCACTGGAGCTTCTCAGCAGCTAGCTTCCATGCACATCTGGTTCCAGTGTTGTTGTTAGCGTCGTTAGCTCTGTCGGACTACGACTTAATATTTATATAAAAAACAGACAAAACTGGACATTGCTGGGAGAAAAGAAAGCGAGGATGTTGAACTACCTGGTGAGTTCAGAAAGGTGTCTGTAACTTTATTCCAGCTATCATTGTACTTTACTGTGACCAAGTTAGCATAGCATAGCCCTGATCGATACAAACTCCATTCAGAAAACAAACATTTTAGAAGTTTTTGTCCTGATGTCTTGCTGACAGACCTGACAAAGGATGAATTCATATGTTTAACAAATCTGCATCATGTTATAGTTATTTCGGCATCAGTTTAATCCGTTTATTGCTATTTAATCAAAGCAAATTGTTTACTTTGGGTTCATACAGTTGTAGTAAAGGTGAGTTGATTTATTCACGTTATCGCGTTAAAATCGCCTTCTCGCGTTGTGTGTTAACACTTGCAGCGAATGTACTCACGCGAGGAAAGCGTCGCCAGGCGAAAATTCGCGGTTGGTCTGATTACGGCATTAGGGTGTATTCACATCTGTCTTGTTTAGTTCAATCGAATCGCACTAGACTTTGTTTTCCCCCTTGGTCCCGCCCATTTTTTGGGCAGGTGTGAAAACAGCAATTACACTCAGGTGCGAAAGCAACAACGGTACAGAGACCCAGCTGAGGAGGTGATGCAATTGCAGAAAGCTTTGTGGAGTTACTGGGCTCTCGTAGTCAGTGCAGACTGTGTCTTTAATTACACTGAAAACTACCTCACATGACAAATCTGGAGACAAATGCACTATGTGTCTAAACAGATTGAGACAGGGTCAGATTTTTATTATGTAATTAGGGGTGATGAAATTGCCAAACATGACTCATTAGTGATAGCACTAAACATAGCAGTATGCAGTAATGTTACCAGTAATAATTTCTGATGTAATAAACTGTTGATCTGGTTGTATGAACATAGCCTCTCAAGGAATTTAAACTTCAAACCTGATCTGTCTTCTGCACAGTGCTGTCAGCATGCCATGGAAGGCGCACATAAAAGCATGCTGTCTCCTCTGGGGTGTATAGTAAAGTTCGCTTTGTGAATCAAAAGCTTCCTGCTTTCCCCGCTTCAGAATTTTTGTCCAATGAATTGATGACCTTAGCACACACGTGTTTTGTTTTTGTTTTTTTTTACAAATTCTGGTTCACTTGCAAAAAGCGCAGTGTAAAAGCGAAGCACCAAACAAAAAAAAAAGTCAACATTGTATTTGGTCCGGACTAAAGCAAGTGAACTAGTGGACTTTTCTGGTCTGAATGCGCCCTTAGTGTTGTCACTCCCTACTTCCTGCTGTGCTGAGCTTGTAGTTTTCTTGTGATGCATTACGAGGTCACAGCCCTGATGCCAAACATTACTGTTGTACATATCATACATTCACATACAGCAATAATCAATTTCACATGTTGGCAGACTGAAGTTTGTTATTAAACCATTGGGTCAGGACTTGGTTTGAATGCAGGAAATTTAGATCCTAATATTTGCTGGGAATTCTTGCCAAAGTCTGCTCTCAATTCCCATTAAAAATTCCTGCAAGAACCCAAGATTTTTAGAGCTTCTTTGTGTGTCATGAACTGAAAGACATTTATTAAAACCAAACCGCCTTCTCCAAACTTCATTAATGTAACACTCTGTAAAGCTCTGTAAAATGTTTCAGTGACTGTGTTTATGACTTCTTCCAGGAATGACAGGATAACAGGACTCCCACATCTGAGATTCACAGTCAGCAAACAGCACCTGTTTCCTACTGTGCAAAATGTCTGGGAAGGCTCCCATTCTGAGTCTTCACTGGCAGGAAAGCCAGACGTGAAGTCACTACAGACAGAACAAACTGCAGAGCGTCAACATCAGAATAAGGGATATAGAAAGCCACCAGATTATATTCTGTCCAGACATGTGGATAAAATCTCCACCCTTGCTACAGGCTCTCACATGGGGTCAAGTAAAGTTTCACCTGAAAAACTACTTCTACGAAAACATGGAAACAAGTTCAGCCCTAGACTTCCAGATACTTTGGTCCATAGTACTAGGAAGGTTTTAACTGCAGCCACAGATAAAAGGCTCTTGAACACTCCCACTCCATCCAGTTTTTTAAAGGGTCACATCAACAGTGTCCATACTAAAGCAACCTGCCACCCGAAGTCTCACATTGTGTTTCTCAAGACACACAAAACAGCAAGCAGCACCATCTTAAACATCCTGTATCGCTATGGTGAAATTAACAACTTGACATTTGCCCTCCCTCTGAACAAACACAGCCAGTTGTTTTACCCATTTATCTTTGCTTCACACTTTGTGGAAGGTGTCAGCAGCAGACGTGTGAGGGAGTTCCACATCATGTGCAACCACATGAGGTTTAGAAAATCTGAGGTGAGGTTCATTAGATTCATACATATTCATTATGATTCAAGTTGTGAAGATAAATTAACAACCCATTTTTCATGTTAACACAGACTGCATATGGGATGAATGTGGGCTAAATGTGGAAACAAACTTGAGATGGGCAAATTATGAGTTCCCCTAAAGGCTGAATATGGATATGGTGGAACTGGGTGTACTTTGTGGGTCTAAAATATCACCGGGTTAATACATTAACACATTGGATAATGTTGGACTGGCATTTGGGCCCAATTTGGGCAACCTGAGTGAGGTCCAAAACTGTCAATCAGTTCCAAGTGTGCCCCAAATGGGCCTGTACATGTGGGTTGCTAATGGGACCAAAGTGGGCTATTTGAGGCCCATGTTCTCATTCCTTGGGCCCAATGTAACTTTTTTGTGTCCACCTAAAAGTGTGGACTAATGTTTCGGCCAAAGCATGGTATTAGTGGAGCGCTGAATATGGTATCAAGATCAGTTAAACATGACAGATTTTTATAGGCCCCATTTAGTTGCCCTAATGGTGCTTGAATGGCAATGCATCACATACCATTGTGGGGCCCCAATGCACATGTTGGCTCGGTGATCACATGCAACATAGTGATATTAATTAATCATGACTTATATTTCAAAATGGTATTTAATAAAAAACTAAAATATTGTTGAGATACTGATGGAACCCGACTAGCCAGATTACAGATATTTCCTGCAACATGTCTTTGGTTAGTGATGGGTTCACACTGGGTGTCATTTAGGCAAACTCAGTGAAGACCCAAAAGCTCCAGGCCCATGTTATGTTCCCCACTAATGGTATGGCCCCCACATATACAGTTGATGCCATATATTTAAATACACCTAGGTAAAAGACATTCTAACTTCTAATTTTTCACAACTCCACATATTTGATGTTACCATACATTACAAAATTAAAGCCAAGAAAGAAATGTATTTCATGTTTGAAAGATTCAAGAAACTGAAGGAATTACTTTAGGAAGTTTCTGATAGGTCATTTGTCATAATAAGAAGTTAATTGGGAATGCAGCTGTGTTTTAATTCCCTATTAAAACACAGCTGCATTATGTATTATGTATTAAAGAAATGTATGGGTCTTAAATGCAAGAGCACTTACCCATAGTGGGCCCCAATGCTGGCTTTAGAGTTTGTCAAAGATGATTTACCTATAAAAATACAATTTTGTAAAAAAAATTGTGAAGTAGAATATGAATTTTTCAACATGACATCTCTAAAATAAACACCTTCCTATGTTATGTCCCAGGTGGCAAAAGTGATGCCTGAGGATACTTTCTACTTTTCCATCCTGAGGCATCCCGTGGCCATGATGGAGTCCATATTTATGTACTACAAGAGCATCCCAGCCTTCCACAAGACTCACAGCCTGAATGAATTCCTAGACAACAGCTGGAGAAACTACAACTCATCAGTAAACAACAACCACTATGCTCACAATATCCTGGCTTTTGACTTTGGCTTTGACAACAACGTTGCAGCTGATGCTGGAGACCTGGAGCATAGAATTGGTATGGCTATTGCAGCCATTGAACAGGACTTCCACCTTATTCTTATTTCTGAATACTTTGATGAGTCCATGATCTTACTCAAGCATGCCCTCTGCTGGTCTGTAGAAGATGTGGTTTACTTTAAGCTCAACAGTCGCAGTGAACTAACTCGTCACCCACTTTTACCAAACACTGCAGAGAAAATCAAGAGGTGGAATGCTTTAGACTGGAGGATCTATCTGCACTTCAACACCACCTTCTGGCACAAAGTGTATAGTCTGGTTGGGCAAGAGCAGATGAAGAAGGAAGTTTCCCAGTTAAGAGAGCTACAAGCCAAGCTGGCAAACACCTGCCTGAAAGATGGCAGGGCAGTTGACCCTTCCCAGATAAAAGATGCTGGGCTGAAGCCATTCCAGTATGGAGCAGCTGTCATTCAGGGCTATAACCTAAACCCACATTTAGACAGACATACCAAAACAAAATGTCAGAGACTTATAACTCCAGAACTGCAGTACACAGACCGTCTGTACACCCAGCAGTTCCCAGAGCTAGCTGCTAAGCATAGACAAGCAAATAGGATTGCTCCACAGCATCAACGCTCAGTTGGAGCCAGTATGATGGGAATGGTCTTGGCCAGGGAAGCCCATCAAAGACAGATCATAAGACGTAAATTCTCAAATCTCAAGAACCAAAATGCCTCCAGAAGTGCTCTGTTAACACACACGGAAGCTAACAACAAAACAAAAATGCCATGAGTGGTAACTGACTAATAGTCAATAGAAGATGTTATGTTCATTCTGTGAGATATGAAAGCAGTTGTTCCATCTTATTCTCACTTTCTGTAATTATAATAATAATGATAATTTCACGCTATCTTTTGATCATTAATATCTAGCAAATGAAAGTGTTTTATGATCTGGTAGTCCTATTTTCAGGATGATATTGTTGATTTGTGCCTTCCAGAAGAGGTATGCACGTTACAAAAATGTTTCATAACTCTGATCTATCACCTCCGTGGTAAAAGTTGATTGAGTTGGTTGAGTTTAGGCGACTAATCTACATGGTTAATACTAAGGAACGATAGTGATCATGGTTAAAATAAATCAAAGTTGGCTAGCTCTAAGAAATGGGATACAAGCATTGATATCTCATGACAAAGTGAGAGTCTTTGTCCTCCCAACCATCCACTCCGATGTCCTTTAATGGTTATGTAACAGTCACATTATGTCCACCATGGATTCTCAGTCTTTATTCACCCCAGGTAAGATGACAAGCAGTCATACTGTAAAATTTAAATTAATAGCTGAGTCCCAAATAGCCGCCTACCTCCTTTACTGGCCTGGTGTGGGAACACATTTTGACAAATAAACGCCTGGTCTAGTTTTTATAGAAGTTCTTTGGATGTATAAAACCTCTTAAACCCTGCAGGGACACCCGCTTTTGCTGCTTCTAAGCTGCTTAGATTTAGTTAATACAAACATTAATGTTTAAACCTATGATCAATATGTCAGTATGGACATGCTACACATCGTAAGATCGGTTAGATTCTCCACAATACCACTGTTAAGTTCATTTAACGGATACAACAAGACCCAAAGTCTAATTCTTCTAGATTTACCGGTGTAACCTGCATGGCTACAAGAGAGGAAAAGTTGAAAATGTGCTGACTCACGTTAACTTTGAAGTGCTCATTAAGTCCGCTCGTTAAGTCCGAATGTGTCCGTCCCTTGATTATTTATCTTCCTTTAGTCTGTAAGGGTTCACCGATCAAAAGAATCAAAACAGCTTTTCAGAAAAATTTATCCAAGTTGTGAATCCTGTCATGTGAAGTCCATCGCTCTTTGTCTACTAACTTCTCTCATCCTGCACCGTGTTGTTGTTTTCGTGAGGTTGATACCTTCAAAATAAAAGCGCATAAGCCGTCTGTCGGACCTACATCAAATGAATGACGTGTATTTGATATTATTAGATAATTTTTACATAAGTATTATTCTGTTTGAAATAAATAAACTGTTTCATAGTAGTTTCAGTTTTGTGCCTGTCCCATATGGACGCCTGTCCCATATGGACGCCTGTCCCAAATAAAGGCAGGGTCAATTCAGTGATTTTAGCAAATAAAAGCCGGGCTATTATTCAAAGTTTTACGGTAAACAAACATTGCTTGACGTGCTTGATCAAATGACCACTGCTGTTGTTTTTCTGTTGTTGTTTTCATGGGGAAAGCATTGTCATGTCATATGCAATACCAAGTTGCTAGTTTAAAAGGTAGACCCTGCTACACCGATGCATCAGCAATACATACTGTATCACATTTATAAAGCTTATCATATACAGTTTTTTGTTTTGCTACAGTCAGAGAGGCGTTGATTTAACTCTCATGATTAAGGTTGGGGTGAATTTAATTTATATTTTGAGAGTCTTTATTTTAATTATGTAATGAATATAAAGTAGTATTTGGTTAAACACATAAATGATGTTCAAAAATTACATTAAATAATTTATGATGACCTTAATGACTTTTGTATTGATTTTGTTGTGTTGATTAGGGCTGGGCACGTTAACGCAATAATTAATTAACGCCAACAATTATTTTATCGCACGTTGTTGACATAATAGAAACAAATGTGCTCTCAATGTGTTAACAAAGATCTTGTGCGATGAACAATGGCAACAACCAATAAGATGTGCTGTGATTGACATGTGATGTGACACGTGAAGTGTTTTTTTTTTAATCAATAAAGTTTTCCTCCTGAGTGAGAGTTCCAGCACGAGCGCTGATGCCCCACCGTGTTTTATTCCTCCGTCATTATTTATAGCTTAGTAATGGGTGTGCACGCCAGAACTGTTGAATAATCTAGCTCTGCTAACAGGTTATGGGCCCAGAATCACCTTATGCCACCGAGGGAAAAGTCGCGACGTACAGCGTGTCCAGTGAGAGTTAGCATGCTAAGCTAGCACCATGAGTAGACGGGTTGCCGAGTCGAGTAGCCGTTGGTCTCGGCTAGTGTTTGACGGAGATGAAAAGAATTATGAACTGTGGGAGACGAAATTTTTAGGCCATCTTCGACTGCAAGGGCTAAAAGAGACTATTTTATATGAGCCCGCCGAAGATGAGGAAGGAGAACCGGCGGAAGACGAGGAGAAAAATGCCGAGGCATATGCGGAGCTGATCCAATTTTTGGACGATAAAAGCTTGTCACTGATAATGAGAGACGCAGCAGACAACGGGCGGAAAGCTCTAAAGATACTAAGAGACTATTATGCGGGCAAAGGTAAGCCACGTGTAATAAGCCTGTATACAGAACTGACTTCATTCCAAAAGTCGAACAGCGAGAGTGTGACTGAGTATGTTATAAGAGCAGAGACCGCCATTACGGCATTGAGAAACGCTGGCGAGATATTAAGTGATGGACTGTTAGTAGCGATGATTTTGAAGGGCCTGCCAGAGTCATTCAAACCGTTTGCTATACATGTCACACAAAGTGAGAAAGCGATGGCTTTTGCCGAATTTAAAACTAAGCTACGGAGCTATGAGGACACAGAGAAGCTGACAACGTCATGAAGGCGCGGGCGCAGCCGAGTGAAAAACCCGCTTTGGCAAGGTCAAGTGACCGGGAAGCCGGGAGTGTGGACATTACGTGCTTCAGACGTGGCCTGAGAGGACACAAAGCCAGACAATGTCAACGCAAGCAGTGGTGCAGTCAGTGTAAGAGCAACACACATCGGGACGCAACCTGCAGAAGGAAACAGAGGCGAGACGACGCGCGGAAGGTTTCTGAAGAGGTGAGTGGCAAGGAGTATGCATTCCGGATGAGCGACGGGGACGTGGATATTTAGCTGGGGCGCGGTGTCAAGGCAACAGGTCTGATGGTGGATACAGGAGCAACTTCACACATCATCACAGATATAGAGAAATTTAATATGTTCGACGAGATTTTCTAGGCCGAGACACACTGCGTGGAGTTGGCTGACGGCACAAGGTGCACAGGAATCGCTGAACGCAGAGGAGATGCGGAGGTTTGCTTGATCAACAGCAGAGGCCGACGTCACAACACAACGCTGAAACAGGCGTTGTACATCCCCTCCTACCCGCAGGACATCTTTTCTGTAGAAGCAGCCACTTCCAGCGGAGCCACTGTAATCTTCAAGCAAGGGGAAGATCTTCTACAACATAAAGACGGTACAAAATTCCACATTCATAAGTACAACAGACTTTACTACTTACACACAGCGGGTGATGAATGTGATGACCAAAGTAAGGGGTGTTATGATATGCAGACATGGCATGAGATCTTGGGACACTGTAATTATGATGATATTCAAAAGTTACAAGGTGTTGTTGATGGCATGATGATTAAGGGTAAAACAGATAAACCTGTCCTTCACTGCGAAGTATGCACTCAAGGAAAGTTTATCCAAACCAGGAACAGAGAGCCTGATGTAAGAGCCAAAGCAGCTCTAGAGTTGGTGCACACAGATATAGACCTATAGACCCAGAGTCCAGAGATGGGTATAGGTTTGCGTTAGCATTCACTGATGATTATTCCAGTGCAGTGTTTGTCTACTTTCTGAAACATAAGAGTGACACAGTGCAAGCAACAGAGAAGTTTCTTGCTGACACAGCCCCATACGGGAAGGTAAAATGCATCAGATCTGACAATGGTACAGAGTTCAGGGGGAAAAGTTACCAGGCATTACTCAACAAAAATGGGATAAGACATGAGACCTCAGCACCGTATTCACCACACCAAAATGGCACTGCTGAGCGAATTTGGCGCACCCTATTTCGATATGGCGAGGTGTATGCTGATAGAGAGTGAGTTACCAAAGGAGTTATGGACCCATGCAGTACAAACAGCAGCTGTAGTGAGGAACAGATGCTTTAACAAGCGCACAAAACAGACACCTTACTTTGTGCTGACAGGAAAACAGCCTAACCTTTCCAGGATGCAAAAGTTTGGGTCAGTGTGTTTTGCCTATAAACAGGACAAGAGAAAACTGGACTCAAGGTGTGAGAAGGGAATTTTTGTCGGGTATGACAAAAATAGCCCAGCCTACATGGTCTACTATCCTGACAGTGGAAAAGTTCAGAAATACAGACTGGTGAAGTTTGTGACCAAAACAGTTTTGGATCGGCAGACACAAACTGTTTTGACTCCTGATGATGACGATTTTGAGGTCCAGAATAGGGCAAACAAGATCAGGCAAAATGCTAATGCGAGTCCGAGAAGTACTCAGGTTCCAGTGACTATGCCTGAGGAAAACAGCCAAACGCAGCCAGATGAGGCCAGAGATGGACCTAAAAGATACCCTCCTAGAGTGAGGAAGAAACCAAGTTATCTGTCCGAATATGTATCGGGTGAGGAGAGTGACGATCAGGTACTGACTAACATAGACTATTGTTACAGGTTAATGAGTAATATACCCCTAACATACAAGGAAGCCGTAACCTCATCTAACTCAAGTGAATGGGTCAATGCGATGAATGAAGAGATGCAGTCACTAAAAGAAAATGACACGTTTACTCTAACCAGCTTACCTGAGGGAAAGGAAGCAGTGGGGGGTAGATGGGTGTATGCAGTTAAAAACAATGTTGATGGATCTGACAAATACAAGGCGCGATATGTGGCCAAAGGATATAGTCAAAAGATGGGTGTAGACTATGAGGAGACTTTTTCTCCTACTGCTAACATGACGAGTATCAGAGTGTTAATGCAGAAAGCAGCACAGGAAAACCTGATTTTACATCAGATGGATGTCAAGACTGCCTACCTCCATGCACCAATAGACTGTGAGATTTACATGCAGCAACCAGAGGGTTATGAGGTGAAATCTAACACAAATGAGAAGTTGGTGTTTAGGCTGGAAAAGTCACTATATGGACTAAAACAGTCGGGCAGAAATTGGAACAAGATGTTGCACGAATATCTAAGTGAAAATGACTTTGTGCAAAACCCTTCTGATCATTGTGTTTACACAAGGGAAACAGAAAATGAGAAAGTGATCATGATCATATGGGTTGATGATTTGATCATTGCTGCCAGTGATGAAAATGCACTGAAGGTTGTGAAGGAGATGCTCACAACAAAGTTCAAGATGAAAGACTTAGGTCAACTGCAACATTTTCTTGGTATCGATTTTGATCAAAGTGATAACTGTGTTACAACGTCACAGAAGAGATGTGTGGAAAAAATACTTGAACGATTTGAGATGCAAGACTGTAAACCACGAGTGACACCATGTGAACAAAAACTTAACTATACTGATATGGCAGAGAAGATGACTGATATACAGAGAGGCAGTTGGCAGCCTACTTTATCTGACTACATGTACAAGACCAGATCTGAGTTTTGTAGTAAGTAAGCTGTCACAGTACTTTACTGAGCCAAC